CGGCCGTAGTGATACATGCTGTTGTATTATATTATCAAAAATGTAGTTATAGACTTATTAGTAACGGTAATATATCAAATAGACATTTGATCAAATTAGTTGTATAATTCATAAATTGTGGTGAATAAACCATAAAGTCAGTACGTTATTTTGAATTGAACCGCATAAAACAATATATAAGTCATATGATGCATTGCAGATATCTGATTTGAACCTAGATATACACCCACTAGTGGGTGTGATTTGGTAAGTTCTTTTTAATTTTAATACGCTTTGTATGAATATTGTGAGACAATGGCTAAACAGTAWATTGTACCACCGTATTATATTATTATTATTGTTATTATCTTCATTGGTGGTGTTTAAAATTTAAATAAAAATATTATACCTCCAAAGTAAAATAGAATATTACATTATATCATACGGGTATGCTAGATACAGGGCTTTAATGAGAAGTCACAAATATTCACAGAAATAATATATTAGGTATCATACAAAAATATTGTAAATTATTAATAATTATTAATTACTAAACGTACAATTATTACTATAGACCACAGAAAATKTCTATAATAATAACAATTAATAATGATAGGTAATAATAATACCAATATTATTAATGGCGTTTGATTGCGAACAGTGTGAAATGGGTAACACGAAATGATTAATATTATGTTATTATATCATCATTGTTGGCTCGGCCGTCGCAGTGGCTTTTGTTGTTGTTGGGCTTTGTCGACAGCTGCCTTGGCCCGGTCGGCCGTCTCGTTGATGACGTCGGACGCGTACTCGAACACCGCCTTGCCCTCCGTGCCGACGGCTCGGAGCAGGCTGTCCATCGCGTTGCTGATCCTCCGGTCGCCACCGACGTCGTCCCGGTCATTACCGCTGATCGTGAGCCGTATGTCGTTCACGGTCGACTGCAGCTTCTGTATGGTCTCGTCCATCACCTTCTTGGCCGCGGCCACGGTGCGACCCCTGGTCTCTTGCAGCCGCCCCAGCGCGTTGTCACTCGACTGCAGTTTTTTCTCAGTCACGTGCAATCCACCGCTGCCGCCGAATTCTGACATCGGTTTGGTGACGCTCGGCTGGAGGCGGCTGAGCACAGACGCCGCGTTACCGGCCGCGGCCCCCGCCCCGTCGAGCGTCTCGGACGCCTGCAACTTGACGCTGTCCACTACGCCCGACATTCGGTCCATGAGCGACGGCGATGACGTTACGCCTTCACCACCGTCAACGACACTGCCTCTAACACCACGACTGCTGATGCCACCATCTTCGTCATAGTTTCCACTGGCGGATGCGGCCGTCGCATTCTAAGGAAAAAACCATATAACAGTAGTGCCACAAATACGTTTTGTGGACTCCATTGCGAAACACCATTAGGAGGCCACGTAARATTGCATTTTAATTATTCATTAGAAGTTATTATTTTTATCAGCTCAATAATATTTTAAGATTTTAATAATGGCACATTYGATAATCTTAAAGTTGACATTTTTATTTCAGATCTGAACGAAGCGATGAAACTATAATCGGTGTTACGATGTGCAGTGTGTGCATGTRGTTTTGTGTGTCTGTCTTCACCTTTTTGAGTTCTATAATAATGCTTCGATATCATCAASTCTGAGTGCAGTTTATGTGGTCAGTCATATAGGTCGACACTTATTTAGGGTGCTATGCCATTATAATAAAAGCCATGCACCAAAGCCCGTTAATTTCTGGTTGGCTCATACCACTTTCCGTGCAAACAATTAAGCACGATTTAGGGACCTTGGGATTTGATATTTTTTGTTATTGTTTTTATAATGATCTTAAAAAATGCAGTGATTTCATCATTAATTATTGGATCGGATCAAATTGTTCTACACAACACAATTTTTGATATGAGTTGCTGTTGCACTCGTGCAGATTTCTTAACAAAATAGTGGTCTGTACCTACGTTTTTAGATTCTAAGTGAAATTATGAATGTATTGATTTTAATATTATGTGTGTTTTATTCCGCCATTTGTCATCACTATTTGTGACAGTTAAATTTTAGGTCAACTTAAAAAGCGATTTCTAGTAAAATACTGTATCTAATTGATACTCGRTAACAAACAAAATTCCTATTTTTTAAACCAGAAGGGAAAAATAAAGTTTAGAAAAATACAGAAGTTTATGTTCAAACTAGTATTCGATGAAATCGGTTTTGTGTTTTTGGTGTAACTCAAATATAAATTGCCGTAGATATTTGAAATTTCCATCAAAGATTTATATATTTGTTTCTCAACCTTTTTGATATCA